TGTTCCTCTTAAACAAAATTAACAAAATAATGATATTACAGAGTCCTTCTTAAATATACTTATACAATACTGAGAAGCAGAACAGGAGGTAACTTCTGAAGGGAAGTGTATGAGTGAAGTGTAAAAAATACACCGTGTGTTCCAGAACATACCCGTATGTTTTTTTTTGAAGTTTTTATTGTTGTTATTCTGGAAGAATAAACTCCCTCAGCGGAAGCTACTTAGTGATTTTTATCGAAAAGGATGTCGAACAGTCTTATTTTTTTATCAATCTTGGTAGTTTTGGAAAAAAATTTACCATCCCCAAAAGTAAATCATAAAAAATTTTCAAAAAATAATACCTTTTATTATTTAAAAAAGTTCATTATTATTTTTATATAACTTATAATAAAATATGACTTAGGCTAAAGGCGAAACGCTGAGTTTAAAAAAAAATATATGCTCAAAACGTTTTCATACTACAGTTAACAATAAAAATTAAATAAGCAAAATAAATTAAATTGAAATTAAAAAAAAATATGTTTCGGGAGTAGAACAGCAGTGTAAATGTGTTATAGCATTTAGATGGGAAGAGAGGTAGATAACAGCAAACAAAGAAAGAAAGAAAAAGAGACACAAATTGGATTAAAGTTGGAAAGAGGTGGAAACAGGAAAATTGAAATCTGAAATCAGTTGACATTATGTACAAAATGAAAAAAAGGAAAAACACCTGACTCGGCATTTTTGTAATGGCCTAAATTTCCTAGAAACTATGCGATAAAATGCCGCAACCTCCGCTCTCACGTCCCATTACGCTCCAGGAAATTTAAATGCTTTAGATGTTTCCTTTTGTGCGGTGGCCAGAGGTTTATTTTGGAAATTTGTTGTTTGTACTGGTTGCAGTTGTGTGGATTTTTGTACGCTACCCGCGGCATTGTCGTCACGTTTCCACACCACTTTATCGCCTTTGTTGTTATCTTTACGATCCCAACCATGTTCCACTTCATGATGATGATGATCATGATGGTCTGGCGAGGGGAACCATTCGGAAATAATTACCGGTTTCCAAATCTTCTTCCAATCGGGTACCCAAACTTCCTTCCAACCGGGCACCCATATTTGTTTCCATGCCTCTTTCCATTCCAATTTCTTGTCTTCAACCCAGGTTTCTTTCTTTTCGGTTTTCCAAATTTGTTGCCAAGCTTCCTTCCATTCGAGTTTCTTGTCGGGAACCCAAATTAGTTTTTTGGCTGGCTTCCAAATCTGTTTCCAGGCTTCCTTCCATTCCAGTTTCTTGTCATCAACCCAAATTTGTTTCTTGGCTGGCTTCCAAATCTGTTTCCATTCTTCCTTCCATTCGAGTTTTTTACTTGGCACCCAAATTTGTTTCTTGGCCGGCTTCCAGATTTTCTTCCAATGTGATTTCCAGATCAGCTTCTTTTTCCACAAATCATGACTGGTGTATTCCCAACCTTCGTGATCTTTACCCAGATACTTTTCACCCGGTATACCCACTTTGATCCATTCGGGTGTCCAATATTGTTTCCATTCGGGTACTTGAATTTCTTTCCAGGCGGGAACTTGAATTTCTTTCCATACCGGTACCCATATTTGTTTCCATGCTGGAACTTGTATGTCCTTCCAGGCAGGTACTTTAGTGGGTACCCACACCGGTTTCCAGATTTTCTTCCAATCTGGTACTTGTATCTCCTTCCATGCTGGCACTTGAATTTCTTTCCACACCGGTTTCCAAATTTGTTTCCATGCCGGCACCTTTACTTCTTTCCAGGCGGGAACTTTTACCGGCACCCATACGGGTTTCCAAATCTGTTTCCATTGTGGTATCCAAATTTGTTTTTTCGCCGGTTTCCAAATTTTCTTCCAACCCTCTTTCCACGTTACCTTCTTTTTCCAATAGCCTGGATCGTGATGATGTTCATGGTGGTGATGATGATACTCTTCGTCCAAATCTATTCTCTGTTGGGCAACTTGTGAGATTTGAGATTCGGATGTTTGTTGATCGAAGGCAACATTTTTGGATGGTTGAGGTTGTAGTTGTTGGGGTTGTGGTTGCTTTTGTGGTTGGCCAAGCAAGGGAGGTTTTGGATCGGGTAAAGCTTTACCGTGGATAAGGGTGGTGCCTATTAATAAGACACTAAACGCTGATAACTGAAATGAGAAGGGAGTAAAAAGAAGAAATTGTGCGGTTAGAAATAAGGTTTTGAGAAGATTGTGTCTAAAAATTGAAAACTGGAAAGATTGAAAAAAATATATATATTTTTATTTATAAACTTCTAAGGTAATATCGTGTATATAATAACTTTTGAAAGAATGTTAGTCTTTAGAAGTCCTATTGTCCTTTTTTTAAAGATAAACACATATTGTAGATGTCGTCTGCATATAGAAGACTTTCTCCATATTATGAGATCTTGTTCCTGACTTCGAGCAAAAAATGTCCACAACATATAAAAATATAAGGTTTTGAACAACGATCAGGTACATAAAAGCGGATAGGGGCGATAGAGACACACGAATATTAATTCCTTGTTTTTGAGGACCCTATCTGAAATCTTAAAAGTGTGATTTTTGAAAAAATCATGGATGTCAAAAAATCTTGCTTTTTGGTTCGAGGGTTATTATTTTCATAAAAAGTTCAATATAGGTCATAATATGGTCCAGCCTCATTTAAAATATTCCCATAGCTCTAAATGCATTTCAAATCGGGGTGGCTTTGATATGATATTCCGGGATCTTGTTGAATAAAAAACTGCATAAATCTCGTAAGTAGATCAAATTCCATAAAAAGAAAAATCTCAAGAAATTTAGAGAGAAAATTAAACAGACTTCTAGACTTATTTCCGTACCATGTGTGTAATTTTGTCTCAATCGAACAAACGTTGGGTACTTATCATTGTAGACATATATATATATATATATATATGCGAGCAATATATAACTCAATCTAGAGTCAATTTGGTACGTTGTACAAAATTTCGTCTTAATCGGATAAACATCGGACTATATCTAAATCTGAACCGATTTTCATCGGATCAAAAATGGGGGGATGCATAAATCGACATAAAAATTGATTTTATGTATATCTTAAAAATCGACCACCACCGAAAAATATTGGTGTCTTCCTAGGCCATAACCGGAACTCTGTGTAAAATTTCATATAAATACATCATGGAAATATTATACAATATCAGAATACGTCGAAAATTTTTAATTTTTTTGTACAAGTCCCACATCCAAGTATTTATGAATACTTGGACATAATGTCTCTTGGATAACATGCCAACTTCTTCGGTCTTTGTCTTCCCGAACTGAACATAGAATGGAAATTTGAAATTTTTCGTAAAATTTTGACTCGCTAATACTGACTGATATTCATTACAACAGACATGCATATTTTTCGATGCATTTTTATGTGACCTCTCGAGCAACCAGAAGAACAAACAAATTTTATATTTTTGGTCCCTTTCATCCCCTTAATATTTACCGATAATATTGTCGTCTTGGGCCAGAACGAGCCTACATGCTAGTTTTCGTAACGATTTATTTATAACTGCGGCTTTTACTTGTATTTAAATCGCTTCGTATTCGAATATAATTCAAGAATGTCCCTATGAAATTTCAAGTGAACATCTCTAAAACTCTTGAAGATATAGCCGATTTATTGTTCTAGCATCAAGTAGGTTTCTCAAACTTTAAACTCATTTTTCTTCAAACATCGTTTTTGCGGACACGATAACTCTAAAACTAATAATCCGATCGATTTTGGGACGTTTCTCTCTATGAGTGTATAGCTATCGTATGAACTAGGATAAATCCAATCGGTTAAGATCTTCTTTATTCTACCCAGGGTCAGGGTATTATAGCTTTGTGCAGCCCCAAGAGCTTGTAACGCAGCGAAATATTGGTCATAGACCCACTGTTTAAGTATACCGATCGTCATATCTCGACTAGCTGAGTAGATCTAGACATGTGTGTCCGTCCATCCGTCTGTCCATTATAATTTGTAAACACGATACACTAAATTTTTCATGTAGGATATGTTGTGGCCAATGAAGACCCCTATTGTTTTTGGAAAAGATCGGTTAATATTTAGGGGATGAAACGGACCAAATACTTTATTTTTGTTCGATTTTCTAGTTGCTCGGGCCAAAGAATAAGCATGCCTGTTTTCATAAAGATCGGTCAATATTTAGCGGGTCAAATAGACACTGAACTTTGTGTGAAAAATTTCAAAATTTGTATTCTACGGCGTATATATTTACCTCTGAAGGACATAGACCCGAAAAGTTGATAGTATATCCAAGAGGAGTGGTTGACCTTTAAATTGATTAAATTATATTGTCGTATGTACTCGGATGTGGGAGCTACACTTAAATATTTACAGGTGCTTACGTATTCATATATTATTTAGTAACCCATTACCGCACTAGAAGACGTAAATATAGCGCTGATCGCTTTGAAATTTTCCATGATGTTCCAGGTATGGTCAAGGACAACGCCTATAATTTTCGGTGATGATCAGATAACAATTTTGGGATGAAGTGGATCGGAAACTTAATTTTTTATGTTTCTTCGAGTCGATCTATAGGCCACAATTGAAAGCCGAACATCACATCATAACCCATAGTGAAGGGAATCCGGACAAGTAATTTGAAGGGCTGTACTGAATATTAGTAATATTTGTTGACCTTTAGTCGGTCAAGAGGTTGGAAATATCGAGAAATATTGCCCAAGCACAGAATATAGAACCACACAAAGTTAGATTTTCGTGGATGATGTGTAGGGTCGGCCAATCGAAATCAATTTCCATTAATTGATGATTCTAGCAGGTTCGGGATTATAAATTATTTCTGGGGATTTTTGGGGATAACATATCTTCATGTGGAAATTTGAGTTATAAAAAAACTACAGCCCGACTTTTTATTGGAATTAAATTGAACCTATAACTTCTCACTAATATATCCAACAACTGTTTCAAAAATAGCCGAATTACTATGTTAACAGCAAGTAATGGCAAGAGTGCTTTTTAAACTTTAAACCAACTTCAGACTGCTGTCATTTCTAAGCCACTCGTCCGACAGCTGTCAAAATTATTCTGTCACTGGAATTATATTGTTTACAAGCCAATATCTATTAATAAGGTCAACAAGGTAGTAACCGAAATCGGAAAACAGGTGTTTTTTCTCAAGTCTAATGTCAAAAATTTCGACTTTGTTTACGTTTTCATAATGGGAGTAAATTCACAATAATGCATTTTGACAGCAAACTTGAGTGGCGCAGATATCCAGCTGGTCTCCCTGGGTGACCTTATTTATTTTGGTGAGAATTTTCCAGAAAAAAAGTTATTCGTGCGGGTATTCAAGCGTGATATAGTGATTTCCTTATATTTGCCTGGAAAACCACAAGTGGCTATCGTAAGAGCACTCCAGCATTTAAATGTGAATACCTTTTTGTGTCTCGTACCATCTCTCGTTACTGCGATACTGGTAGCGTAGTCCGACGTCAGTGGCCGAAAAATGGCTCGTGAGCTGAACATATCGCAATATTCCATTCGGCAAATATTGAAAAATGAGCTCGAGGTAGAGCCATTGAAATTCCAAAAAGTGCAAAAACTTACACCGCAACAGAAAAAGATAGACTCAAAAGAGCTAAAGAGTTGCTTCGCTTGGCCGAAAGTGGTGAACTGCCGAATTTGATTTTCTCCGATGAGAAAACATTCATTGTCCAGAAGTTTGTAAACAACCAAAATTATCGTATTTACTTGCCAAAGAGGTCAGCTGAAAATGTGCACCTTTGGTTGACCACCAGAACCAGTAAAGTCGGACTGGGCCGACTATATGATACCCTTCACCACTATGGTTTCTGCATATTTTCTAACAGACTCCTCCTTCTCGAAAGAACATTAACATGAAATTGAACGAACTTGAATATGTAATCTGTATGCCTTTCTGGAACCTATGCTAAATTTCATATCATTCGGGCAAGTTTAAAATATATATGGAGCTGTATCTGCTTTGCACCAATTTCATAAAACGCAATCACGTCATTCTAGTCTCAATTCAATACGTTGTGCAAAACTTCGTGTCACTCGGTGCAGCATTTACCTAAAATTACCGATTTTCAGGAAACTTTACACACATCATTCTAGACACAATTCAGTACGTTATGCCAAATCTCGTGCAAATATTGGAGCTATATCTAATTCTGAACCGATTTTCACGAAATATAGCACGCAACATTCTGTACCTAATTCAGTACCCTATGCAAATTTCGTGCAAATCGAAAGATATATAGAGACTTTGAGACTCATTTACCTTAGATCGGACGGAAATATATAGGAGCTATATATAAATCTGAACCAATTTTCTTAAAACTTGGCACCCGTCATTCCGGACCTAATTCAGTACTCTATGCCAAATTTCGTGTAAATCGAAAGATATATAGGAACTTTGGGGCACCCATTTACATTAATTCGGACGAAAATATATATGGGAGCTATATATAAATCTGATCCGATTTTCTCGAAACTTGGCACACGTCATTCTAGACTCAATTCAGTACGGTATGCCAAATTTCGTGCAAATCAAAATTTACCTTAAATCGGACGAAAATATATATGGTAGCTATATCTCAATCTGAACCGATTTTCACGAAACTTGGCACAAATCATTTTGGACCTAATTCAGTACTCTATGCCAAATGTCGTGCAAATCGAAAGATATATAGGGACTTTGGTGCACCATTTACCTCAAATCGGACGAAATTATTTATGGGAGCTATATCTAAATCGAAACTTGGCACACATCATTCTGGAACTAATTCAGTACTCTATGCCAAATTTCGTGCAAAACGAAAGATATATAGGGACTTTGGTGTCCCATTTACCTTAAATCGGATGAAAATATATATGGGAGATATATCTAAATCTGAACCGATTTTCTCGAAACTTGGCACACATCATTCTGGAACTAATTCAGTACCCTATGCCAAATTTCGTGCAAATCGAAAGATATATAGGGACTTTGGTGCATCATTTACCTTAAATCGGACGAAACTATATATGGGAGCTATATCTCAATCTGAACCGATTTTCTCGAAACTTGGCACACATCATTCTGGAACTAATTCAGTACTCTATACCAAATTTCGTG